TTTTCTCTCAGCGTCATGCGTCCTCGGATGATGACCACTCAGACTACAGCGATGAGTCTGACTACAGTCCCAGTGAGAAAAGGAAATATAGAGAGTACAGCCCCCAGTACGGTTCTGTAAGTCTGAAAAGAAAACTTTCCCAACACACATGTTACGTGTGCATAATATAATGTGAACATTATGAAAGTATTCTCCGTTTATCAATGTCTTATCTCTCTCTAGTCTCGTGGGAGCTACGGTGGCTCAAAGAGGGGTGGTTACATGAAGATGGAGAAACAGGGTTACGGAGGTTACGATGACTACGAAGATGACAACTTTGAGGGAGAGGAAGATGAAGACATGGGGGATGACGACTACGATGACTTCACCAAGGAGCTCAACCAGTACCGAAAGGCCAAGGAGGGAGGAGGCGGCCGTGGTGGGCGAGGTAATTTCACGGCAGTTTGAAAAATAGACTTTTTAAACATATTCTGCTGTATGCTAAATATTTGCTCAGCTGACAAGTCAACACGGTTTCATAGCAAGACTGTACACGGAAAAATCAAACCTAAGATCCAACGTTGTGACAAGGCCAGCCGTCTTTTCTGGGGACGTTTTCAAACAAGGAAAGAGAAAAATGTATCACTGTGTTATCAAAGTTCACTATTTTACCTGCACCACAGTTCAATTTGCACTCGAGCATATTTGCATACATACATACAAGTTCTCTTATCAATACAAATTTCACCGATAAGTTGCAGACAGGTGGTGTCACACTTTTGTAGCTTATTCTTACTTCACTTCTTTGTCTTCGTGCAGGGGCCAGAGGTCGTATGAAGAACCAGAGAGGCCGTGGATTAATGAGAGGAGGGAGGAGGGGAAGAGGAGGAGGCAGAGGAAGAGGAGGGCGAGGCGGAGGAGGAAAGATGGGAGGAGATGATGATGGAGACGGCTACGGAGATGAAATGGAGGTGAGGATTAGAGCTCAGAATAAAACCCATTGTCTTTTGCTTTGGTCAAAGTTTAGAAGGCAAAAATGTTTCCCTCCTACATTTCCTGTGTTTTGTATGTGAGCGCAGTTGTTTAAATACACTGGAAGTGTGCCAGTAAACAAAAGACCACATGGAGCAATAATTGACTTCAGAAAACAAGCCTGATCTGGCTTAGACAAACATACAACTTCTGGTCTATTTATATTTTGCTCCAAGTTCACGAAGAGTCAGTTAAATGACAATAATAATCCCCGTCCTTACAGTATGGAGATGATGACTACGACATGGGTGAGGATGACTATGATGACTACTCGAAAGAGCTCAACCAGTACAAGAAGTCCAAAGACAGAGGCAGAGGTTTGTTTTTCGTCTCTTCCTTCCGTTTCCTTTTTTTTAAATTTGACCTACGTTGTTTGTTTTTTCCTGTTTTCATATATTATTGAGATAATTGTGTGTGCACATATTAAATATGGACAAAGACTCAAATAATGCCATCAGTGTATGTGCAAGTGTTTCTGTGAGCCACAAACTGAGGTACCAGACTGTTCTAAACACTCAGTTTCAGTATTTCTTTTAAAATCTTTCATCCTGTTGATGTCATAGAAGCTAGATGTCCATACTACGGCACACAGCTCTAGCTGAGCACTGAAGCCCCACATGCTGTTCAAACCTGTTTGTGAGGCCAATCAGCAGAAAGTTGCATTAAAGGGAGGGTTAAGGGAATTAAAATGGCTAAAACTATGATTTATGCAAAATTAATGGGGAAATATATCCTTTTGTCACTCACACTGTCTCTTGATTTCTCCACCAGGTGGTAAAGGGGGCCGCGGGCGAGGCAGAGGTAAAGGAGGACGGGGCATGATTAGAGGAGCAAAGGGTCGAAACAGAGGGAGAGGAAGAGGAGACATGGGGAATGATGATGACCATGGAGACATGGACAACGGGGTAAAACTTTCACAATTATTATGAGCTCAGCCTAAAGCGCCCTGATCTGGTAACAAACTGGACAGTACAGCTAATTTGTATTTGCTTGTTGTGTGCGGTGGATTCAGGATGGTGTTGGAGGTGATGGACCAGGAATGGGGAGGAGGAATCAGAATGAAAAGCACCAGGACAAGAAAGGAAAGGCCATCTGCAAGTACTACATCGAGGGGAGATGCACTTGGGTAGGATGGCACAAATATCAATAATATGTATTATTAATGATCTTTTATTATATACATACAGGTCAGTTCAATTTTCAAAGTGCACATATTAAGTTGAATTAAGATTACATTTCCAAATGTATTACATTAGTTCCAATCGGACATGTGCTCATCTCCTTTGAGGTTGCATTAGGAAGGGCACCCGGCGCACATCTCTGCCAAATCAAACATGCAGAGTTGCCCGCTGTGCTGAAAGTAACTTTCTAATAGTTTTTCATGATTTCATACCTCAAACGCAAACACATTTTTAAAATAGTATTTTAGAGTTTTATAAAGATGTTTTAGAAACAAATTTACACTCAACTATACTGTTTAGCACACTAGCTACCCCCTGACTGGATAAAAATACAACTGTTTCCAGTGGAAATTTCAACATTTGGTGCCAGGAATCTATAGCTAAATGCAAATATTATAAAAGGCTTTATACTAACATAAACTCTTACAGCAGCATGTAATAACCACAGCTGCAAGATGCAGAGGAAATGTCTGCTGTGTTGTTTATTTTGGTCTACAAATTATCTGTAGGCTGCTGTCTCAGCCCTGACATCCATAACACACACTTTTTTCCCATACAACAGGGCGACCACTGTAACTTCAGCCATGACATTGAGCTGCCAAAGAAGAAGGAGTTGTGCAAGTTCTACATCACTGGATTCTGTGCCCGAGCTGACCACTGTCCTTACATGCATGATATCCTTTGCTGTTGACCACATGGAGAGCCTATTTATCAGTACAGATAAGGCAGTCTGGAGTTGTGGATCAGAACCAGTTTTTCCCAATCAAATTAAACTTGAATCTCGGACTAGTAAGTCAAGTTAAGAGTCAAGCTGGCAATATTTACCAGTATGAAGTTGCATAAGTGAAACCAATCCAGGGTTTACACCAGTTTATTCTGATCCTAGCGGGCCACCAGGCCAAAGTTGACCCCTTGCTCGATATGTGCACCAGTGTTTTGTTTCAGGGTTGTTTTTTTGTTTTTTGTTTTTTAAAAGCTCCAATCGTTAAAATGACCATTTAGTTTTCATATTAGTTTTAACAACCATTAACACTATGAAGCAAAGATGAACTAGCAAATTGTTATATCCAATAATCAGGGTAAATGATGTACTGCTGTATGTGAGTGAGGTTAAATGTGATGCAGTGCTGTATCAGTCGTCGTACCCACTTTGTCTGATAACTATGTGTTCCTCCTTGACTCCTGTGCTACGTGAATTCCCCTGTAAGCTGTTCCACACCACAGGGAAGTGTGTCAATGGTGACGAGTGTATGTTCTCCCACGAGGAACTCAATGATGATACTCGGGAGCTGCTTAACAAGGTAGGAACCTCCGACCTCGAAGACAGCCACCTCGTTTATTTTCTGTAAACTCTCACAATATTAAGTGTATATAAGTTGGATTTTTGTCACTCGCACAGTCTGCCAGTTTAAGTTGACAGACTGTTGTTTTTGTTTGCCTTCAGTTGTGTTTTTTTTTTTAAGATTCACCCAGCAGAGTATTTTTCTTGGTTTTGTAGATGCTGGCAGAGGATGCAGAAGCTGGAGCTGAGGACGAAAAAGAGGTGGAGGAGCTGAAGAAGCAAGGAATTAACCCGCTTCCTAAGCCCCCTCCTGGAGTCGGCCTCCTTCCAACCCCTCCCCGGCCCGTTCCTGTTGAAACCAACACAGGTGGTGTGGATTTTGCTGGGCCTCCAGCTGGGGACTTTGGGGGTCTTCCTGGACCTAATCAGGTGCCCATAGCTGTCAAAGGTCCCCCAGGACCAGGGCCTGTTCCTGTCCCTGGTCCCTGCGCCGGTCCACCTGTCCACGGTCCTGATGGAAGTCCCTTCCAAGGTGGCCCGCCGAATCCCCCTGGCCTTCCTCCTCCTCCACACATGGGTCCCCCACCTCCTGCTGGTGGAGGAGGGGGAGGAGGCATGGGGAAGAAGATCCCCTCGCTGTTTGAGATTAAAGTTCAGCCCACAGGACAGCTGGCCCAGAAGCTCGCAGTTAGGTAAGCGATCGGAAATGCAAAGAATTAAAGAGTATTTGTATAATCCGCATCCTGACTTTGTCTGTAGGAAGATCCAAGTTCTCAGTTTTTGGAATGTAGGAATACTGTCTGAGGTTTTTACTCTGAGAACTGAAAACGTTTTCTGAACATCTGTGAAACTGCTTTAAGACTGAGAAGCAGCTGCTTAGATTCACAACAGCTCAAAGGTTCCTCCCAAAACCTGAGTAGACACTGAAGGATTTTCAGTGCAATAATTATTTTAGTGTTTGGTTATTGGTTTTGTCAGACAACTAGCAGAGAGAATAATGTGTAACAGGAACTAGTATCTACATTTTTTAAATTAATTCTAAATAATTTTAAAAAAATGTTTGCTTTGAGAGTCACTATCCGAATTCTAAATCACACTCCCGCTTTTGTATTAGAAGCCAGGCCCCCAGTACCAACCAGGGTCAGACCCCAACACCTGGACCGCAAGGGCCCCCTGGTGCCCCTCCTCCCAGATTCCCTGCCCCTCCAGGTATGATGCCCCCTGACATGCAGAACATGGGCCCCAACCTTGGAATGAACCAGGGCCCTCCCAACATGGGACCCGGTGGACCACCAATGATGGGAGGATTTCCACCAGGAGAGGGCCCTCCACATGGAGGTGCTATGCCTCCAGGTCCTCCTCAGGGAGGAGGAAACTTCTATAATAACTTCTACAATCAGCAAGAGGGTATGAAGATGGAGGGAGTGGTTCAAGAAGGTGAGATCATTTTATACTAAATACCAAAATAGAGTTGGAGCAGCTTGCTTCAAACAATAGTGGCTCTTAAACTTATGAGAATGTTGTCTGTTCCCTATCAGGTGACAGTTACCAGGGATTTTCCGGTATGGACGAGAGAGGAGGCACAGGAACATTTGGAAATCAGTCAGGCAACCAGGAAGGCCCTGCTAATGGAGCCACAGCCAATCAGGGGGGGATTTCTGTGCCTGACTTTCTGCCACCTGCTCAGCGCGTCCTCTTCATGAGGATCCAACAGAAGCAGCAAGAGGAAGAGGAAAGAGCTCGCAGGATGGCTGAGGGAGGAGCAGAAAAAAGCAGAGACACTGAAGGTAGAGGAACAGCACCTGCATCTGTGTAGAAATGATTCCTGTGGCATAGTGAGATGTAGCATCCTTTGCAAGTATTCCTCTTTCCGTATGACTGTCTAAAAACAGGAGAAACCTGTAAAACCAAAGACTTAAGACTTAAAACCATTTTGTGTGTAACAGAAATGAGACGGAGGTGACCCTTTCAGTGATTGCTTAGAGTTGACCAAAATGTCAAATCCCTTTTTTCCTAGGTGACTCAGGGAACTGGTATTCTAGTGAGGATGAGGATGGCGGTGGTAGCGTGACTTCCATCCTGAAGACCCTCCGTCAGCAGACCCAGGCTCCTCAAAAATCTGACGGGCATCCGAGCGACCCACGCCTTGTGAAAGCCTCTCCTTCCCACCCTCCGGCTCGCCCAGCAGACCCCCGCTTAGCTCGGGATCCACGCTTGGCACGTGCTGCTGAGTCAGCTCAAATCTCTGACCCCACCCACTCCACACTCGCTCCATCGTCATCTGGACCACCTGCAGACCCCAGGCTAGCTAGGCTAGCTGCTGCTGCCTCAGCAGGATCTGCCTCCCATTCGCCTCCAGCTGCTAAGCCTGAACCTCCCCTGGTCTATAAGCCCCCTCCGCTCACGACCCCGGCAGTGGATGAGGAGGAGACTGAGCGGGTTCTACGGGACAAGCCCGTGCCGATTCCTCTGGATCCGCTCATGGGTATGGCTCTGAAAGACCCACGTTCCCAGTTGCAGCAGTTCAGCCACATCAAGAAGGATATTGTTCTTCACATGCCAGCCTTCGCTAAAACCATCACCTGGTCTCCTGAAGATCTGCTTCCGCTCCCTATTCCCAAGCAGGACCTGCTTCCTCTACCCCCAGGCATCCCTCCCGTGTCCACCCTTGACTCACGTCTGTCCCGCGGTCAGCAGCAGCAGTTACACACGCCACTCTCTCACTCGCAACCTCCTTCCGCACAGCCTCCTCCTTCCTTAGACGCCCCTGCTCCCTCCTCCTCAGCTTCTACCCTCCCAGAATTTGAATTTCTGTCTCGCATCCTGAAGAATGTTAACTCCAGCACGTCCCAGACTCCTTCTCCTCCTCATTTACCCACACCCCCTACCACTATGCCAGTTATGGGTCAACCTCAGTCCATGCCTGCAGCTTCTATAGAAAAGCCCATTGACCCCCGTGTTGCCCGCAAAGTCCCCTCTGATCCCCGTCTCCAGCCACCGAAGTCGGCACTGAAGCAGCCATCAGAACCTGTGCCCCCTCCGTCCACATCTCCTGCACCAACATCTAGTTCTTCTCCACCTGCCATCGCTCCCTACGACCCACGGCTGCTCTCCTCAGTTGGAGCAGGGCGCAGTGTAGGGGCCGGGACACCAGGGGGTGCCAGTGTGCTGAGCAGCATTAGTCTGTATGACCCTCGGACTAACAAACCAGGCAGCCCTGGTACCAGCAGTGGCTCTAACAACTCGCCTAACTCAGCCAGCCAAACTGAGTCCAAACTCAGTGACCCCACAACGAGTAAACCTAAATCCAAGGAGCCCCTCTTTGTTCGGAAGTCTGCATTGGACCAACCTGAGCCAGAGAAAAGTACAGAGCAAGGCACGGATAGATACAACAGCTATAACAGGCCCCGGCCCAAACCTGCGCCCTCACCTAACTCCACAGCTCAGGGCGGGGCTGCTGCAGCTGGGGCGGCTGCAGCTGGAGGTCAGGGTGCTCCTGGATCTGCTGCAGACCAGGGGCCCGCAGGGGTCCATAACCTACCAGTATCCTCTTTATTTGGTGTTGTGAAGCAGGCTAGTAAGCCTGGCGGGACAAGCAGCCCCTTTGGGGGAAACAGCCCTGCACAGTCTGATCAGGCGGCCACAGAGCAGGACAACGGCTCCCTGAAGGAAGTTTTCAAAGGCTTTGACCCCACAGCCTCTCCCTTCTGCCAGTGACACTGATCCTGGGACCCCGACGCCCCAGATGTGGCAGCTGGGTGTGGGTTGTTTCAGGTTTTTGGACACTGAAAATGTCAGTGAAAAGAGAAACGTGCACTGCAGCAACTGCCTGTAAGACGAGTTTTGATAAGATTGGCAGCAGACATATTACACACAGACACCCAACCACAGTGTTTCAGATTCTATAAAAGACTCTCGGGTAGCGTTTAAAGTTTAAAGTGAAATCTCTATTTTAAACAGACTTATTGATGTATAAATAGATGTATTCTCTCATCTCAGTGCTTAATGAAAATGATTATCCTGACAACAGAACACATTTATATGGAATGAAACTTTAAGCATCACATGTGTTTAAATCTCCTTTTATTTAAGTTTCTCACATCCTTCTGTTTCATATTTCTTCTCTTCTCAAAGCTGATGTGCTCGTGTATATATGCATATTTTCTGGTTAGTTACAGATGGCTGTGCTCTTTGTAACAAATTAAAAGCTTCTTTTATATCTGATTTTCCCAACAATATATTGTTTATTTTTGGTGTTTCTTTAAACAGAATCAAGAGCACTGAGGCAACTTACTTTACACCTGTCAAAAACTAAACGCCCTCCATATCACTGCCTTTGCTTTCATCCACTGTCCTCTGTCTTTGGCGTTATATCGAACTAAAGCATATTTTTTTCCTTCCAAGGTAACTTTTTTTTCTGCAGAAATGACTGAAATGGTCTTTATTCTACTTAAATGCTTTTTTAAGTATTTTTCTACTCCTTTGCACTGTCAGCTTGTGTCTCTGAGGCTTGTATTTATATTTTGAGTGGCTGTAACCCTTCAGGCTGTTCATGTACAGCTCCATTTCAGGTGTTTAGCTCTTACAGGTGACCTTTAACCACTACACAACCGTCGAAGCCCCTAATTCTCACAGATTTTGCCTTTACTCCAGTCTTGTTGCTGTGAGGAGAAACAGACTTTCACTTGAACATTTATTTTTATCGGTTTGTGAATATGGAGAGCACTTAAGCTCTAGTTTCCGTAAAGCTTAAGGGGGCGTTAGGAAAAAGCAGGAAACAGGTTTAGCTGCTCAGACTGATGACTGACTCTGTCACTTCGCTCTCCACTGGCACATTTAGGTAGCGCTTAGTTATCCATTGAATCATGTCCTTTAATCTCTGCTGCCAAAACTGGTTTTGTCAAAGTTATTTCCATGTATTTCCTCCTAATTACATTCGAATTTGGACCACTGAATTAAAAGTCATCTGCATCTCAGCGTTTAGTTTCTTTGTTTTGTTTTATTAGCTGTTCTGAACAGAGAAGTTTTCTGCCTTGCATTCTCAATTGAAACGCTTGGCTGGTGGCACCATGACAATCATAAACTACATTTGGACCTAAAATTCAGATGACTTGTACATGTCGCGTTCATCTGTGCCCCCCCTGCTTTTCATCTGAACCATGCCAACCAAAATAAATGAAACGAACTAAAAAAAAGTTTGAAAAAGTGGACGTGTAATTGTGGAAATGTTCACGGTTTGGACTCGCAGCTTAGATGAGAGTGCAAGTCTTCTCTCCAGAACGTCTGCCATAAACACCATGAACTGTGTGAATTAGAAGTGAATCCAGCGTCTGAATCAGGGTGAGGGAAAGCGGTTGTTCCTGTTTGTTGTAAGGACGGAGCAGTTTCATTGCCAGTCTCGTTGGTGAATCTGTACGTGTGCGCTCAGTTGTGGCGGGTTCAGATGTTTTTGACCTCCAGAAAGTGAAGATTGTACAACAGCTCTCAGGATCGTGTTCGTCCGTCTTGTGTATAAACGTTTTAATTTATTTTTTTATACTTGAGTAAATATACTTCCTCACTTGTAAATTTTGAGCTGAATCATTTTGTATGTCAAGAGATTACCACTCACCTCAGTGGGCCGTCGGCGCGCTGCAGCAGTGTGAGGAGAGGAAAGACGTTCACGTCTGGTTTTGTGTATGAAGATTCAGATAAGAAAAATTCACTATTATGTCCTCCTCCCTGCCGGTCCATTTAAAAGCCTGTCAGGAGGCCGAGTGTCAGCTATAGCAAGTGTGAAAGTTGTTTGTTTTTTCTTTTATGGATTTCTTTTTATTGTTTTGTTCCTTTTTTCCCTCACTCTGTAAATTTGACCAGTATCCAGTTCCCGTCTTTGGAGGAGTGGAGTTTTCTAACTGTACACTGTAGGTGAGGTTGTAAGTATTTAAATAAAATTAATACATGATCAACCAGTTTCAAGTATTTCCTGTGTTGTCAGTACCTCGGATGATTCATTTGACGCATTTTTGTTTTCTGTCAAAGTCTCAGTAATTCATCGAAGTCACGATTGTTCAGCCGGATGAAGGTTGTGACCGCTGAGCTGTCTGTCTGCGTCTCCAGTCAGATCACAGATTATCTAAAAACGCCCTTAGGCCTGCTTTTCAGATGTATTTTTCACAAGCAGGCTGTCATGTTTTTTTATCTTGTTCTTTTATATATTTAGACCTGAACCGTGCAGTTCTTGGCTCGGCCCCTGTGGATTTGGATCAGTACCTGAGCAGCACACAGGCTGTTTCCTGGTTAAGTACGATCCACTACTGACTCACTTCCTGCTACCCTCCCATCCTGCAGCGCTGGCTCCAGGAAGACAAACTATTCATCCCAAACCTCAAAGGTTTCCTATCACACGCGCGAGCGCACATGTTCTCCTCTGCCAGTTTGGTTCTACGTGTTGTACCCGCCTGTGACCTTCAGCACAGCACAACACAATGTTATACAAGGTTATCCAATAGCTAATTAAAATGATTATTACCTTTATTTAATTAGGAAGTCTCAGACATTCTTCCTTGGCCAAACAAAGTAACGTAAAACACCAAATCTACAACATCATAAATTCAACTTTAAATTCTAAGGATTTAGAAATTGGAAAATATTAATATTGTCTAAAGATTGGGTAGAAACAAAGTATGACATTACAAAATTATTTAACAAAAACTACAGGGCAGTGATTATCAGTTGTACACTACTTTTTGTAAGGCGTTGGACATACATGGAGTCCATTGTATAGAGTATAATGGTTAACTATGTGGTCTTAGGTGTGTGTTGAAACAAGAAGAAATGAGCTCAGCAATGATCTTAGAGAAGTAATCGTTGCCCATCAGCAAATGTCTCAGCAAATTCACCCCACGGTGATGTTCAGGCCTCGGCTGGCATGTCAGTTTGAAAGTTCATGACGACAAAGTTAGAAAAAGAATGAACAAGTGGGGCTTGTTTGGACGCGTTTCCAGCTCACGTTTGCAAAGTTGTATCTGAACAAACCAAAAGACTTCAGGAGCACGGCAGACCAAAGTGGAGATGTTTGACAATGATGCACCCAGAACATCAGCACAAACACCTCAAGCCAACTGCCTGCACGCTGTTGGAGGGGTGATGATTCGGGCTGGTTTTGCAGCCACGAGGCTTAAGCACCTTACAGTCACCGAGTCGACAGTGAACTACTCTGTTTACCAAAGTAATCTAGAGTGAAATGTGAGGCCGTCTGACATGTTGGTTGCTCTGCAGAAGGACAATGATCCCAAGTGTGTCCAGACCCCTGTGGAACAACGTTTTAGAAGTCAAGATTTTTCATTCTCGACAATAAAATATATTTCATGGTGAGACAGTTATGATTTAAACCATTGTATTGTTTTATCAGAAAATTTTTTAGCATGGTTATAAATAAAAATATCATAATTTAATGTGACAAAGCGCTTTTAAAACTCTGTAAAGACTGCCCTGATTAGGTCACATTTATCTTTGACTTGGGTCTTTCTTAATTTGGCCTGAGGAGGCTGTGGTGCA